ACTCTATGTTGACATTATTTACTAGGATTGTGGGTGTTCAAGTTTGATGTCGCCGATTCCTATCTATACATTTCTGTAGCGGTGACATCCCACCACTATCTACATTTTGTGCACAAGGGTCAGGTGCTGCAGTTCAGGTCTCTACCCTTCACACTAGCATCAGCACATGTATCTGTTCTGCAGAATCGTAAGGTTTTTCTCCTCAACTTCTTTCCCTAGGCCTGTGCGTACACCATTTCATGGATGACTGGTTACTGCTGGCACCATATTGTCAGTTAGCAGAATGCAACATATGGATTTTATTTTCAGAAACAGCCAAGGCAGGCTTCATTATCAGAGTTGAGAATCTATTCTCACTCCAATGCCATATATCATCAGTCTGGATATCTTTTTCAACATGTTTTTCACTTGGGCTTAGCTGACTGTCATCTGGCTCCAAACTATGGAACAGGAAGTCCAACTCATACTCACCTCTCCTTCTCTCACTGGTTTTTCTCTTTTGGAGATGTGGGCATCACTTGAATCTTTCACGAGATCCATTGAGTAGTCTTGGTGTGACCAATGGACCATGAATGAACAGCAATTTACTGGATCCCCCAGTTTCCTTATTCAGGATCATTATCCCCAGTGTTGAGGGATTGTTAGATTGGAAAAATACTATAATATTGTCTGGGCTTATTAAGGGGAAAATCGTCAGGCTTCACTTCAATAATTTCATGGTGGTGTCTTACATTTCCCATCAATGAGAAACTTAGTCTAGGGCTCTTTTTTTTCAACCTTTGATCATCTTTATTGTGATCACTCTTATCATGTCACCCTACTAGCTTCCCATGTTCTACGGGTTATTATTTTGGTGGCATATCAATTGTCTTGACCAAAGCAGCTTCTCCTGCCAGAATGGATACTCACGGCATGGTTTTTTGTTGGATTGGCTCTCATTTTGAAACCCTGATGATTGGAACACCCAACTACTGGCAGTTGACTTTGCCAATGGATGCATTCCATCATGACCAGAGAGGATTACACCTCTAGGGCTTCCCACCGATTCATATATTACCCATATATTATATTTGTTTCTGCTTCTGTGGTACCTTCAGTAATGCCCACCTTTTAAATTTTTTTTGGCCATCTTTGTTGAGGCAGCCATGATCTGACATCATATGCCCAGCCATCCTGAAGCTCAAGCTTCAGGCATGGAGGTTATGTGGTCCTTTGTACAACATTGAGGCTTAATTTCTTAGGTTACAAAGTATGTCTCAGTCTTTGCTTAGTTCCCTGATGCACATTTATCAACAGAAATGACACACACATTTTGGCAATGGTTTATTGAGAGGAGACTGAACCCACCTCGATCAGAAGTGCCAACCATAACTCATTTATTAACCTGGCTCTTTGAAAAGGGTTTTGCATCTTCCATAGTCACCCTGTATAAGCAGCCTTATCGACTACCTTTTGATACTTGGGACAAAAATTGAATCCTTAGTACTCTCTGGCTTTCTGAGTCATTTTGGATCCTTTGTCCCAAGCAACCATTTCAGTTGCCTAGCTGGTATATTAAGGTGGCATTATATGCAATTTCTCAACATCTGTTTGAGACCTTAACCTCATGTACCATCTTTCCCTAAAAGTTTAATTTTCATTGCTACTGACCTACAGACATCATCAGTTGGAGTTTTTTGCACTGATTGTGCACAGGATACTTTATCATTCTATGTACATCCTCAGACCTATTCTGCTTCCCTCAGACACTGGTGGCCAGGGAGGGGAATAAATCCTTTTCACCAACTTCTGTGACCTCTATTTCTCACTTGTATGACCAATCGGATCTCGATCATTTGTTATATCCAGTGAGGGTCTTGAAGTGTTATATTGCCCACACTGATACCTTTAGAGGTGCTAGACAAAGACTATATTCATAGGGTTCCTTCAGTTTCCCGGAATTTATCCCTAGTTACATTGACAAAGTTGATATGAAAATTGGTTCATATCACTTACTTTGGGCCCTCTTTGAAGGTTAGGAGACTTCTGTGAGTCATGTCTCATCAGGTTTGTCACATTTCTATGTCCTCAGTGGCCTGATTGAATTGTACGTTAAAGGACGTTGTGTAGGCTCATATGTGGACTCCCTTCCCCAACATTTTTATCTCACATTACTTGCATGATCTGGCAGTATCTTCCTCTGAGGGTTTTTGACTTTCCTCAGTAGCTATCTTAACCACATCTGCTAGCTTATAAAGACAGGTGAGCTGCTCAGGCAGGAATGCTTTTATCAAACCAATTATGCACTAGCAACCACTAACTCAATATACTTTATCAAGATTGCAACAGGTTCTGTAGAAATGAGGTGTTCCATAAGACCACCTAGAGGCTGACTGAGTGGTATTAATATACTATGCTGGACCACCACTCATGGACTATCAAGAGTAAAGCATAAGGAGATCTTGCCTGTCCCTGACAGTCCTTGGATTGAATAATTTGGGGTCGGTTTGTTTTTAAAAATTTAGGGAACCAGGTTCACCTATTGCACTGTTTCCATAGCAATGTTCTTTAGAACTCTCCAATGCGCATTACCCCCCAAATTCTACTGGTAGAGCTAGGGAGTCCTCACCACACCCAGTTTCCAGTCACTGGGGTGATGGACAGAAGTTATCCCTCCAGAGTGTTTGAGTGAATTTCTTCCACTCTTGGAGAAAAGGGCGAAGTTGGGAGTCCTCCTACCTAGGACCCTGGATGTTTTTTTCCCAGATTTGTAGGAGAGGCACCAGTCTATGTGGGAGCCTACTCATAATACCAGTTCAGATTTGATGCTTGGCTGTCTGATTGGGTTGAGCATGGCTCTTCTTTTTGATCAATATTGGTTCAGTACATTGATCATAGAAGAGGGTCTATTGTCTCCTCATAATTACTAATGCAGATTGGTCCCATTCCAGGTCCTTGGATGAGCACAGTTTGTTCCACATCTTCTCCATAATTCCGGAGACAAGTGGAATTTACCTTTCCCACTTGGATGGGAGTGAAGATGCGTGTGCATAATTTCAGACTGGATGAGTATGACATACAGGATCCCACCACTCCAAGTTTGGGGTGTTGCCTTTCAGACTTCGTCAGGTTGAGGAGAAGGTTTGCCCACTTTGGTATTGCTTGCCTACTTGGTTGGTACAACATACTTCTCTCCTATCTCCTTCTTCCCATTGTCTTTTGCCTACTGGACCATTCATGCCCAGCCTGACTCCTGTGTCCTGTCAGGCTGTTTGTTGTGTCTTATCACAGACTTCTTCCTTTAGAGGTCCTCTACTTCATCTGTCCCTTCCTTGGAACTCCTCTTTTCCATAAACCTATTTTCTTCTTCCCTTACAGGATAGGTATATCGACTCTTTAGTTGACATGTTTTTCTTAAGCTGTGGATTATCACATTTCTTTGCATTTGATTCTTCACCTTTTTTTATTCCCTTATATCTCTTCTCTGCCAGCTCTTGGATTGATTTCTCCAGACAGGCATGTGGACTCTCTCCTCACATTCATCTCCTCTAAACCTTTTGGCTATTTTCTCTCCTTCTAATGATTTGTGACTTCCTCAGGTCACCATTCTTTAATCATCAGGCATCTTTGAGGAAAAAAACATAAAAACATGCTGTTGCTCCTCCAGAGCCCCTCTTTCATTCTGAGGAATACCACCTCATGCCTGGTGTTGCACTTATCTAAAATCTGCATCAAGCCAGTATAACAGAAAGTGCTCATAACATCTGCTTTGACTCTGTATGTGACCATTGAAAGATGGGGTGTTCTGCAAGATCTCTTGAGGTATCCTTGTAGTGTATATATATAATATTGCATTACTGTTATCGGTCTAGGTTGTCAACTTATTGTTATAATGGATAACGTCTATGGTAATAGCACCCAAATGAGTTCGGGATATCCCATCAATCAAAAAAAATCCAAATGCTGATGTCAATTTAGTCAGCTGTCATGGAAAATCATAAAAAATCAAATAAGGGTATGAAGCTGAGTGGTTACTCCGAAAACATCTCGGCTTGTACTGATTTTCACTGTATATAGCCAGTTATGGGAAGGCGGTTATTCTTAAATTTCTTAAAGTAGAAAGAAAGCCACCCTAATATTTCTACTAGTTAAACTCTCAACTTCCACCCTTCCAAAAAGATATTAAATAGAACTATAAAATATTGAATAGAATTAAACAGAACTAGAAGATATTAAGTAGAACTAGGAAATTGACAACCTGGACCGATAACGGTAATGCGATATTTAATTTATTATTGTTTTATAGTGCTGATGTAATTGCTTATTAACAATTAATGTAACCAATAGTTTGTAAGCTATTTATTTGTTTATCTATAATATAAACACACACAGACACATGTACATTCAGTTGTCTGATCCACACTGTACCAGTTCTGTGGACTATCATGGGAAAGTAAGCACCAGAGAATGCTGTTCACATATCTGATCCAAACTTGCTGGGTTTTGAATATAGGGTTTTGTGCAATTCCCCCATTAACATACCTTTCTGGACTGATAGAGATCCAAGAACTTTCTCCAGTCTCCTCCATACGAATTCTTCCACCCTTTTGTTGAGTGGAGTAGGGGAAACCTTTGCCACTTTCTAGTTTTTAGCTATGGGGTGGTGAATCATAGACTTAACTGCTGGGACTAAGAAAAGGAGCACCAATATGGTTAGAAGTTGTGAAATGGTGAGACTGTTATTATCGTGTAGGTCACCCAACGTTTAGCATTTGACACATTGTACAAATTAAGAAAAAAGTTTTTTTCTGTGAACTATGTGTATAGTTATTCTATGTAAAGGTATGGAACATTTATCAACAAAATGTGAAATAACTCAATAAGTGTGCTGTGAAAAGTTATTTTCTAATACATTTTTATGTATTTCTGTTACATTTAAAAAGTGAAAATATGTATTTTGTACTCATTCTAATATTATTTTTATTTTAATTTGAAAATATTATTTAAATATTTCTTGATAGCCTTGATCTACATGATGAAAAAGAAGAACAAGAAAGCCAGGTGATGAATGTTCTTCCAAGAGATAATTTCACCGACTATATGAAAGTTGAGTTGCTTGGATTTAAGGATTCAGTATTTTGGTCATTTGAAAAAATGAGTAAGTTTGATGATTTGTTAATACACTGGGAAGAAAATATGTTAAGAAATGAAGATAAAATGTTAAGCAATCCTTTGAAAAGTTTAATATCAGGTTACTTTTATTAATATTGTTTCAGTTTTGTGGTAAGTTACAATTCCTGAAATATATTTCAATCAAAAACTATGGAAACAGTGCACCTGAAAAGGGAACTTTAACTTTACTTGTAAATTACTCATCTGTGAGTTTTCTCGTCTTGGATAAGTGAGAATCAATTTGAAAAATATTCCAGTGGACTGTTGTGTTTAATCCTTTGCTATGGACAGGTCAAAGAGCACGTCATGATTTTTTAGAGAGTTATTTTCAAACTTTGATTAAACAACTTTATTTCATTTTATGTCTGTGAAATTCGTTTTACAACATAGTTTATAATGTTAAATTTAATAATATATATATATATATATGTTTTAATGTGTTAAAAATATATTAAAAATTTTAAATATGCATTTTGTGTGTCATATGACTTGTCCGTCTTGTCATATTGCTCAATTTATATGTTTGATTATGCCTACCATATAATGTGTATAGTGGTTAATAAACTAAAAACTCAAACTTCAGACATTTAAAAGTTAGAATATAAATAAATAAGCTCCCACATTTTTGATTTGCTATAATACTGTTACGACAGTGGAAGTAACATGTAATGAGTTCGAGAAAGATTGAGGAACATCAGAATAATCCAGTATTTGCTAGGCACCCTCTATTTTTGTATATAAGTACACCAGGCAATTAATCGAATGGAATTGCAGACAGGAAGAGATAGAGATGGACAATTGAGTCAAGCACGGTAAAGTGCGTGAATCATTCGTTGTAAATTATAGTGTGTGTTTAAGTTAAGGTGACTGTGGAAATTAAGTGTATTGCAAAGTTGAATTGAGAGAGAATAAACTAGTTTTATTTGAGAAAGGACTTGTATCACTGAAGTTCTTCTGAAAGAATTTTTATGAGTAATTAACAAATGACCAGAGACATAACAAATTGGTGTCAGAGAGTGGGACAAAAAAAAAAAAAGATGGAAACGAGAAGTGGCAAATGAAACTACAGCTTAGAAATAAAGAAGCGCAAAAGAAACAAGAAGAACGAGAAAATAAACATGAAGAGAGATTACAGCAGTTGTTGGAGGAAAAAGAAAAGAAACAAGCAGAGAAATTACAGCAGTTGTTGGAGGAAAAAGAAAAAAAAACAAGAAGAGAGATTAAAGCAGTGACAACTGGAACAAGAAAGGAAACAGGAAGAAAGTATCCAACAGTTGCAGGAAAGTCAGCAGCAACTACAGGAAAGTCAACAACAGTGGCAAGAAGTACATATGGAAAACAATAGCAAATTTCAAAGCAAATTAAGTACATTAAAAGATGATTTATTGTCTTTTACACAAGGAGGATACATTAACCATCAACTTAATCGGCCTCAGACAACGGGAAGCTTCTTCCAGACCCCGCAGCGAAATCCTAATGCAGACATCTTCAGTCCTGTTAGAAGTCACATCCCAGATATGAATGTCAGCAATAGGAGTGATCTAGTATGAAACAAGTCACAGGAATTCGATGCGAATGCACCATGGGAAGCATATAGAGCACAATTTGAGCTCCTGGCAGAGATGAATGGATGGACAGAGG